ATCGCACATTCATGGTGTAACGTTGCTGTAAGCGCTTAACGGGTGAACTTGTAAAATATCTATTCCATATATCAGACCGTCGACGAGTCCACCTCGCGCACGTCCTGGTACTGGTAGGGTTGTAAAACCTCCACTTGTGCGCCCCCCCTGATCCTATCCCCTAGTTGACGCCCCTCCCTAAAATTAAAACAAATAGGTGATTTTTAGAGATACGGCCGTAAGAATCTCTAAAAAAGTGTGATTTTCCAAGAGCAAAACGCGCAGTTTTATGGCTAGTACATAGTAGTAAGTTTTTCAAAATTGTCCTTGTAACGTCGCAGCAAATTCTACAGCAAACAGGTTTTTTGATTGACTGCATCAACAAATGTTTGATGTTGGGAAAATCTTTTTCACATTTAAAGAGTACATTTCCTCTGCAATTAATAATTTAAAAAATCATTTTTTGTCGGTAAATCCAGTTTTTATATAACTATAGTTACTGGCTCTTGGCCCAGCGCGCGCTACTTCGTATGCAATTGCCGTCGTAGCACTTGCTGTCGTAGCACTTGCCGTCGGGGTCCATTACGAGAAGCAAAAGCGCGCGCGCTAACTTCGACGAAATTTAGACGAGTATCATACGACAAGTTTATAATAATATAAGGTTACCTAGGGGATCTCAGGCTATCATTTCATTTACTTAGTTAGAGGCGGTCCGTGTAAGTCCATTACACTGTGCTTTCCGCAAACACATAAGAATTTCGTGGCTGTGGTTTGCAATGCGCCTAGTCCTAAACTGGAATGATTCTTCGAATTTCCCGCTGATTTAACCACTTTTCCGTCTTGGTAGATCCCAAACACAAGGAAATTTTCCTCTGGTTGGTAATATACTCAATGAGAAGTATAGTGTATAGGCTATGCCGCTACTAGTTAGCTCTTTCTATCCCCTGCTACACGGCATGAAACAGGGATTGGCTATTAGAGGCGGTCGCGTGTCGGCCTTACACTGTGCTTTCCAGCAATACTCATAAGTATTTCCGTGCTATGGTTGCCATGCGCTAGACTACTGAAAATCTTTCTTCGGAATTTCGCTGATTGTACAACTTTCGTCTTGGTAGATTCCAAACACAAGGAATTTCCTTCTGGTTGGGAATATACTCAATGATGGAAGTAAGTGTATTGGCTATGCCCCGCATAACTATTTACTCTTTCAAGTCCCAGCTAAACACGCATGTAAACAGGATTGGTCAGTTAGTAGCGGTCCGTGTAGGCCTTTACCAACTGTGCTTTCAGCATACTCATAGAATCTAGAGATTCGGCGAATTACAGGCGACGCCCGGCCAGTAAAAATTATGTTACAGCAAAAAGACACGTATTTTGCCATCTTGCAAGTTGCCCCATTTTCATCACTATAATCCAACTTTGAAATCTACAATATCAACTCCGATATCCACAAATTTTTGGACAGTTAAGGAAAGCTTTAATTTGAAGTTCTTTACCAATATTTCAAATTGATCTTATTCAAAAACCGAGATATGACAGAACAATAAGACATAAAATCAACGAATTTCCGTCAATTACGCGACTTTTACACCTACTTTGCTCCAAAAGCCGCGCACCATCAATATGTCACATAGGCGAAACTCACTAATCTTTCAAAAAGGTATAACAAATTTGGTACTGTGAAAAAATCCTCACAGTCTCTAAATTAGAAAAACGATCATGGTACAAAAATTTTGAAAATCCAGCAAGTTTATTTTTCATCGTGCACCCCTGGATTAAGAATGAAGACAAAATTTGTTACGTTAATCGTACATGGGCGCGTTTTGCGTAGCTCCGCTACATTTCGTTGAAGGCCGCGAACGACCTTAAGTTATCCACAAAACATAATGACTAGAACATTTCTTTGCCTTTAAGACTACCTTGTAAGAAGAGTTAGGTTTCGTCCTCAAAATGAACCTCAGCAATAACTTTACCTTTAGCGTTTCCAGTAAACATGGATTTCAGTCTCTCACCATTCGATGATCCATGATGCGCCTTTTCGTTATTAGAAATATGAAATGGTGTTATTTCGAATATCATTGATCATGACCAAAAAGTGTTCAACGACACCAATCAATAAAATTCCGCCGTTAAATAAAAATGGTCGCGCCGCCCCAATAAGATGTTTCATGGCGGAAGCTACCGCAGGCCAAATAATAATAGTAAATATGTGAATAGTAGTGCTGTTTCCTTCCATTGGCAATAGTTACAACTTTGAGCTTGTAAAACTAACAGTAAATACGTTTCAAAAACTAATCTATCTGTGCTTTCTGCTTAGGTAATGGAGTTAACAATGCAATATAATCGTAATCAATTCCGTGCAACATCTTTATTCAGAAACACAATGTAACATACACGCGAGCTGCGTCTGTGTCATAATAAAGTCAACATAAAGCAACAACAATAACACCAACGAGAAACGGAACAAACCTAAAATATCCCCAATTGCAATCACCAACCATATGGTCTGAGGTGTGATAATAATAGGATAATGTTTTTGGTGGATCTGGGGTTTGAGACGTCTTAACAAGTTGGGGAAGTTGGCCCGATGGAGGATGGTTTGCGAGTACTTACATTTAAATGCATACTCCTTTATCTAACAATCGTGCATTTAACTCTTCGTTAAACCCACAATTTAACTGTCGGTTAAACGGGAGTTGGGTTTAGATAAGTCACCTGGTATGTGATTTTACCGTTAGTAGGCTGAGTCTGAACAAAAGAGAGACCAATATTTTAATCAAATTAAATTTAAATGTAGATAATGTCAATCAGCTATTTTCTAGCATAATCATTAGCTAAAAGTACACATTTGATTTCCTCACTCACTGTACAGTTATAAAACTCGAGGTATTATAAATAACTACATTAACAATTTACATTTACATGCAATAAATAAAAATAAAAATTACTAAAAATGTAATATATAACATTGATTAAAAACTAAAAACTACAAGGACAGCAACATAAATGTTGTCATATGTCACATAATACTTGAACACTCAAACATGTGCTTACACTAACAAAGACGTTTAATCATTAATTATTTAAACTATGTCTGGTATTTTTTTTTTTGTTCTTTTTTTTTTATTTTTTTTGTTTTTTTTTTTTTTTTTTCTTTTACCCCTTAAAATAAATGGTCTGATAGAAACAATAAAAATAAGCGGTCACGTTCTTATATCTGTTGCAATAACTAAGAAACTATTTTTAAGTATCAAGGAGTCGCGAGGCAACTCATAATCCTGAAAAATGAACCTCTCACTTCATTTCAAAACAAGATTTACTTCGCATTATAACCCGCGAACACACGGTGATGTCCACCTCATGATTCAGACTCCATCTGCGCACTTTCTTCAATTCGTTCCTTGTTGAAGGAGTTGAATTTTTCAGCTATGTACTGCCGAGCGCTGCCCAGGTTCTCACAGCCGTGAAGGCGGCATCCGATTCTCCAACGACTGAAAGAAGATATGTAGAACTAGAGATGATTGTGAAGGAAAGATTCAAGGTTAAATAGAGATTTAGAGCGAAATATATATTTTTCGAGTTCCGTGGACTCAATTACATTAACTGAGCTGGAAACTTTACACGGAGGTCAACTAATTGAAAATATAATGTACCATAATAAAACATCACATAGCACTATACAATTTCAAGTTAAACACCGTTCGTCTTCACCAGAGAACTGAGACACATCGTTAGTGTTTCCTAGCGTTGTCTCCATATCTCATTGACATTCTCTATTTGTGAGTCCCCAAACACGCCCCGTTGTTGCTCCAATATATATCGTAGCTGTTTACTGCAGGGAGATAAATTAATGTTTTTTTAAACTCCTCGCCATTCATTTCAATCAAATAAAGCTTCATATCTACAATTGTATTTAACCAATTTGTCAACATGTACGAAAATATATAATTATATTAACTTTTTACCCTTTTCAGAATAGAAAGTTTGACGGATCCTGAAGGCGATCGTCAGTTTCTCTATCTTATTCCTCCAGATAATTGATCTCAGAGAGTCCCCAGATTATCAGCGTGGACAGTTCCTCCCGCAGATTACTCTTTTTAGCGGTCTCCAGCCTACTAACAGCTGTGAGGGGAGAATTTCCAACTGCTAGTTCACTTCACTCTCAGTCCCACCAGTCCCGTTCACTACGTTTAACTTTCTCTGACTGGACCGGCCCAGAGACAGGGCATACTCCACGAGTTGGCTGGGGGAGGTGGAGTATGTAAACTCACCTCACCCCACACTCGTGGGAGTATGCCCTGTCTCTGGGCAGGTCCAAGTCAGAGAAGTACAACGTAGTGAACGGACTGGTGGACCTGAGAGTGAGTGAACCTAGCCATTGGACTTCTCCCCTCACCAGCCTGTTACTAGCTGGAGACCGCTAAACAGAGTAATCTGCGGGAAACGTCCACTGCTGATAACTCCTGTGACTCTCTGAGATCAAATACGGGAGAAAAAGATAGAGAAACTGAACGAACTGCCGTCAGGGATCCTCAACCTTTCCTATGCTAAAGGTACAAACATAATATAATATATATTTTGTACATGTTGACAAATTGTATAAATACATTGTAGATATGAATGCATATTGATTGAAATGAATTGGCGATGAGTTTAAAAACAATAATTTATCTCCCTGCAGATAAACACTACGATTAAATAATTGGAGCAACAACGTGCCGAGTTTTGGGACTCCAAATAGACCGACTGTCAACTTAATACTGGACAACGCTAGAACACTATTGAGTGAGTCTCATCTCGGTGAGAAAACGGTGTTTTTTAAACTTGAAGATCTGATAGTGATATGTGATGTTTTATTATTGTACATTATATTTTCAAATAGTTGCCTCCGTGTAAAAGTTTCCAGCTCAGATAATGTAATTGGAGCTCCACTAAAAATATACTTTCGCCTCTAACTCTCTAATCTAACCTTGAATCTTTCCTTCACAATTCATCTCTAGTTCTAAAATATCTTCTTTCAGTCCGTTGGAGACTCGGATGCCCGCACTTCACGGCTGGAGAACCTGGGCAGCGCTCGGCAGTACATAGCTGACAAAATACAACTCCTTAACAAGGAACGATTGAAGAAATGCCGCAGCTGGAGTCTGAATCATGATGTGGACATCACTGGTGTACGCGGGGTTCAAAATTCGAGTAAATCTTGTTTTGAAATGAAGTGAGATGTTCATTATCATGATTATGAGTTGCCTCGCGAATCCTTGATACTTAAAATAGTTTCTTAGTTATTGCAACAGAAATAAGACCGTGACCGCTTATTTTCATTAGTTTCATATCAGACATTTATTTTAAGTAAATACCAGACATAGTTTAAATAATTAATGATTAACACGTTTTTACGTGTAAGCACATAGTTTGATGTTTTCAGTATTTTGTGACATCTGACAACCATTTTTTGTTGCTCCGCCTTGTAGGTTTTAGTTTTTTTTAATCCATGTAATATTACATTTTTAGTAAATTTTTATTTTTATTTATTGCATTAAGTAAATTGTTAATGTTAGTTATTTAATAATACCCAGTTTTATAACTTACAGTACGTGTAGGAAATCAAATGTTTTACTTTTAGCTAATGAGTATGCTAGAAAATAGCTGATTGACAAATCAACATATAAATATAATTTGCTTAAAATATTGGTCTTTCTTTTGTTCAACTCAGCTATAAACGGTAAAATCAATACCAGTGACCAATCCTCAACCAACTCCCGTTTAACCGACATTAAAATTGTGGTTAAAGAAGAGATAAACGCACGATTGTGAGATAACCTTAGTTTGCATTTTAAATGTCAGTACTCCGCGAACCATCCATCCGCCACTTCCCACTGTTAAACGTCAACCCCCGCACCCACCAACCATTATCCCTATTATTCGCACACCATCATACATAATGGGGGGTGATTGCAATTTGGGATATTTGGTTTGTTCCGTTCTCTGTCCTGGTGTAATTGTGTTGCTTTTAAGTTGACTTTATTATTACAACAGACAGCAGCTCGCGTGGATGTACATGTTTTCTGAAATAAAGATGTTGCACGGAATTCGGGGAAAAATTTTTTTTGCATTTTAACCCCCTTTTTCCTAATGCAGAAAGCACAGATAGATTAGTTTTTGAACAGTAATTACTGTTAGTTTTACAAAGCTCAAAGTTGTACATAATGCCAATGGAAAGAAAACAGCACACTATTACATATTAGTATTTTGCATGCGGTAGCATCCGCCATGAAACATCATTATTGGGGCGCAGACCATTTTTTAACGGCGAATTTTTATTGATTGGCCTGTCGTTGAACAATTTTTGGTCATGATCAATGATATCGAAATAACACACTTTCATATTTCTAAGTAAACGAAAGCATCATGGATCATCGAATGGAGAGAGCTGAATCCATGTTTACTGGAAACGCTAAAAGTAAAGTTATTGCTGAGGTTCATTTTGAGGACGAACCTAACTCTTCTTACAAGGTTAGTCAATAAAGGCAAAGCAAATGTCTCTAGTCATTATGTTTTGTGGATAACTTAAGGTCGTCGCTGCTTCAACGAAATCGTAGCGGAGCTACGCAAAACGCGCCATGTACGATATAAGTATAACAAATTTGCTCTTCAATCTTATCCAGGGGTGCACGATAAAAAATAAACTTGCTCGGATTTTCAAAATTTTTGTACCATGATCGTTTTCTAATTCTAGAGACTGTGAGAATTTTCACAGTACCAAATTTGTTATACCTTTTTGAAAAGATTAGTGAGTTTCGCCTATGTGCCATATTTGATGGTGCGCGGCTTTTGGAGCAAAAGTAGGTGTAAAAGTCGCGTAATTTGACGAAATTCGTTGATTTATGTCATATTGTTCTGTCATATCTCCGGTTTCTTGAATAAGATCAATTTGAAAATTGGTAAAGACCTTCAAATAAAGCTTTCATAACTGTCCAAAAAATTTGGTGGATATCGGAGTTGATATTGTAGATTTAAAGTTGATATAGTGATGAAAATGGGGCAACTGCAAGATGGGCAAAGCTTGGTTAAAATACATATTTTTTAGCCTGTCACTCAGTTTTTACCGGAACTCTAGGGCGCTATCGAGACCTGTCAAATCTCGCCCCCGAACCTCCTATATATATAGAATAACAATTAAATACTAAGCCAGGGGATGAAAAGTAAATTATGACGGGGATTGCCAATACTTAATATTTTTTGGACAACCTAGGGCACCTTCCTTTAAGTTTTATTGAGTAAAGCTTGTAAAATTACAACCTACCAGACCGCAAACGCCGAGCTAGGGGCATTGCAACCCGCGGTCCCGAAATATTATGGAAAAGAAATATTTACGAGTATCACCCGCTTAAAGTAGCTAACCATTTTTTCGTTTACAGGGACATTAGGAACAAACGGTAAGGGTACTAATACATTATTTTCAAGATTTGGTGATCACCAAAGAAAAGCCTTTTAAAAAAACCAAGACGAATGTACCCAGGAATCCGCAGAACATGTCACTACGATTGGGAACCAATCCCGGATTTTTATGGGGGCGGCTCAGGCCACTGTCCACCATCCGCCGTCTCTAGAATTAACATGTTGAATGACCACATAATTGCTTGAGTACCCCAAAATTACGTATGCACGTCTAAATTTCTTAAGTAAACGGGCCGCTTTTCTCATGCCCAAATTTGCTACGAAGTAGGGCGCGCGGCGCTTTTCTTCCTGCGGCAACATGACACTAGTTAAATAACGGACGGACAAAAATGTTTAAGACCCAAAATGCTACTTAAAGTAGCACGGCCGGCCCAGAAAACATTTACATGGTCAACAAAAAACCTGTAATGTAAAATAAGCTCGAACCTTACAAAAAATTTGAAAAACTTTAAATTATAACCAAAATGCGGTTAACCTGTAAACATCCTTTTAAAAGATTTTCCCATCCCTGAATGATGCCCATTTCTTCTAAAAATGTTTTGCGTAAGGATATGGCTGCGCCAACGTTAGGTTACAAGTACAGACGTTTTGGAAACTCTAAAGGTCCATATTAGGAATAATATTACTAAGTATCTACCCTAAAAACGCAGCCGTTTTGCTAGAACAAATCGACACTTTTATAGAAGTTTTAGCCCGATATATCCTTTTTAATAAAATACCAATTTAGCCTTAATTTAAGGGGGGCTCCGTAAAATATTGGTTAAGGGGCGCCGTCCAACATTGTAGGTTTATCGCGAACCTGAGTTACCAAAAACCTAAGCGCCGAAGTTGACCTTCGACGGTTCCTGATATATGGAACAAATTTTTCAATACAAACCCCTTACGCGCCAACAAGGCAACGTTTTAAACCAATACCAACCCTTTGCAATTTCATTTTTGCCGACAAGTTCCCACCTAAAAATTTTAAAAAAATGGGGGGCCACGAACTATTATACTTCCCCCAAAAATTTTAAAACGATTTTTCCCTCTGCCTAAAACCCAGCCCTTTTTGTTTAAACGGGGGGGATAACTTCGTAAAATATTTTTTTTTTTCCCAAAATAGACCGTCCCGAGAGTCCCAACTTTTAACCCGGGGGGCCCGGGCCTCCCCCCTGGCAGGTTTTTTAAACCCAACAAAAAAATAGCGCTAGTTAGTAAAAAAGGTTTTTTTGGTTTGCTTTTTTTGTTTTTCCCACGTAAAATTTTCCGTTTTAAAAGAAAAGCAAATTTGAAAAAAGGCGCACAGGGGGTGGCCCCTGGGGGAAAAGGGGAATCATCTGGGTTTTTAAACCCAAAAAAAAGGGGTGTTTTGCCCTAAAATATTTGTTTCAAAAAAATCCTGACAAAGACCGCGGACGAGTTTTTTTTTCTCGGGGGCCCCGCCCGTCCCTTGGGTAAGGGTTTTTTAAAAAAGGGGAAACAAAATCATTTTAATTTTCCTGCCAAACTGCAAAAAAGGGGGGTGGCTATAATTTTAAATTTAAAAAATTCGCCCCTTTAAAAGTTTTGGCGGGTTTTAAGCTTAGAACACAAAGGGCAATTTTTGTTTTTTTTATAAATATTTTTTTTTATGCCTGCCCGGGGGGATTATGCTTCCTTCCCCAAAATTGAATTTTCGAAAAGGGGTTTTAAAAAAGTTTGAAAATAATTATTTATAAGTTAATTAAAGTTTTTTAAAAAAAAATAGAGAATACTTGAGATTTTGGGGGGGGGGAATGGGGCAGTGGATGAACAGGCTATGAGCCCCCCAGTAAAAAATTATAACCTGCTAGTGCCCCGCGGGTTTGCGCAATGCACTATTTAATTGGGGGGGGGGTTCGAGCTGTAACGCGAGAGAGCCGGGGAATTTATATTTTTTTTAAAAAAAAAAAGGCCAAAAAAGGGGGGGGGGGGGGGGGGGGGGTGGGGGGGGGGGGTTTTTAAAATTGACCTTTTTTCAAAAAGGTTTAAAAAAAATCCCCCCCCCTTTTTTAAAGGGGGGGCCCACCGGGCCCCCCTTTCCGTTTCAAAAATTTCTTACTTTTTTTTTTGATATTTTTTTTAAATTGAAGTTGACTTTGATTTTGTGGGGGGAGTTTGGTTTGTCAAAATGAGGGCGTTTTAAAATGAAAGTGCAAAAAACCTTTTTTAAAAAAAATCCCCCGTAGGGCTTTATCGGTTACCCCCGAAACCCCCCGGGGTGGGGTTTACTCAAAAAAAAAAATAATATAACCCCCCCGGTTTTTTTAAAAAAAAAAAACAAGATTTTCCGTCTTGTAAAATTTAAAGTTAGCTCCCCCCCGAAGCAAAAATTTGGGACAACTTTTTTTTGGGAAAAAATTAAAAAACCCAAAAAAGTTTTTTATTTTGGGCTAAAAATAAAAGATCGCAGCCTTTTTTAAAATTTGCAAAAGAATACGGGGGTTTTTCATGACAAAATTATATAGGCTAAAAAAAAAACGTGGGCGAAGGTAAAAATTTATGAGACGGCCGCGGGAGGGGCCCCAAAAATGCGCTTTTAAAAAACGTCACCTCTGCGAGCCCGGGAGGGTGGGTAAAAATTTTTCTGGGTTTTAAGGGAGCGGGGGGGAAACCCTTTTTTTTCCTAAACATCGTCCCAAAGGTCATTTATTATCAAAAGTAATTTTTTTAATTTTTAAAAAAAGGCCAATTTTTTTTAAAATTTTGCAGCTACTACGATGTTTAATATTTCAAAACAAAAAAGTGTACAAGTTAAAATTTTAAAATTTTTAACCATTTGGGGCCCGGGGCCCCCTGCCTTTTAATTTTAATTTTAATTTTACGTCCCCGGGGGGAACCTATTTTTT